CGATGTATTTTAGTGAAACTCGCTGTGAATTTGTTCTTATGTAAGACTCATATTTTGATGAAACAATCGTGTTCATCCGCTTTGGACAAGTGGTGAATTCTTGAGTGTCGTGGTACAAAAACTACCAGACATTTTTAATTGGTGGATGAAACCAAGCCATTTTTTTTGGTTGATGCACTAATCCTTTATTCATAATTTTGTGCTCCTTGTAAAATCTTGTAGCATTCCTAGTTTTTGCTAAAAAAAATATTTCTGTTTCCTTGCCACTTAACAATGTTAGACATTAACTGCAAATATCGAGATGCAAGACATAAATTACCTTTTGATATAAAAGACCTTTTCTAATGAAGAAGTGACCGAGATGGTCAAAGTATTACGGTTTTGCAAGGACAACTTGCGTGAAAGCGTAAGCGTTTACGCGGTGCATATTTGCAGTTAATGTCTAACATTGTTAAGTGGCGAGAAAACCGACATATTTTTTTGCGCAAAAACTATGAATGCTCCAAGATTTTACGAAGAGCACAAAATTGTATATAAACAATTAGTGCATCAACCAAAAAAAATTAGTTGATTCCATCCTCCAAATAAAAAGTTCTTGTAGTTTTTGTACCACGAAACTGAAGAATTCACCACTTGTCCAAAACGGCTGAACTCGATTGCTTCATCAAAATATATGAGTCTTACATAAGAACAAACTCACAGCGAGTTTCACCAAAATACATCGTACCATTCTCCCGCTATTTAAAAAAAAATTTTTTTTGGTAGAACTTTGGCCAATAGCAGAGGAGCCAGACATTTTTTGTTAATAAAAGTTAAGTCAGATCGCCTTCCTTTGATCCAAAGAATATCGCAGTACCCTTTTGATCATGTGCTTACGGGACACTCTGTACAAAGAAATATCGAAAAAGGTTGCAAATCGATACCAAACAGATACTTTCATTTGCATACAAATGGCAACATTGCAATAAAAAAAAATAGTTCCTTGTGCAATTTGCAATCTTCAGTTGGACTTGGAAATGTGCAAAAATCCGGCTGTGATGCGCGTTTGTTTGGGTTCAACTTGGAGGTTTATCAATCACCCAACAGACGCAAGTGGTTTGATAGTGGGTGGGACTTTGCACTGTTGCTCCTAGTAGGAAGTCGTTGCATATGACGAAATAGTAAATTTAGTTTCACATCTACACGACCTTAACTGGGCGCTTCTGAGCGGGATCAGAATGGTTTCTGAGAAAGTGGTAGGCCTTGGACAGCTTTACCAGCTTCTGCTGGTTGTTGGCTCCACTTTCCCAGCAAACTCTCTGAACGGCGTTTCTTCCAGCCCCAGTTACGGGCCTGGTGTGGGTCATCATGGTGGGACCTGCAGCAGGCATTTTTCCTCTTCGTCTTCTTCTACAGTTGCCCAATAAAATGCATTGATGAAACTAGTCAGATGGCTAAATTGGAGGAGCTTTTTTTGATGCGTTGGCAGCATATAGCTTCAAGTGGCTTAATCTTAGATTGCGCAACTTCCTAAAGTTATCTGCCATCAATTGTTTCCATGTTAGTTTGTTTCGAATGTCACTATTCACTTCAAGTCCTTCACCACTTCAGATTCAGTATTTGTCTTTATCGTCAATTGTAAACACCGATCTGAACTATTGATCTGCAAATGAAATCATCCCATTAACGTTAATCACGTGAGCGATTAACATTCCAGGCGGCCTCCTCTCTGCTTGTCTGGCTTGAATCGAACGAACTGGCCAAGAAAACAAATATCAAATTAATTACATAAACGCTGATAAGCCGAACTGAACTTGAGAAAGTTGCCACTAGCAGACCACATGTCTGGACTGCCATGGTTTCTTCCTTCAATAGGGAAAACTTTGGGAAATGACTGGGTCAAGCAATGGAAAGATGGTATTTTGTACTGCATTTTACTTCGAGGAGAACAACATATATAAATTTCTGTACACAAATTTGGCGAGTATTTACACAAAACAATAATACATACATAGAACATCTTTGGCGAAATTATACAGGGTGTCCCTTTAAAGTAATGGTAAAATATTTAGTGGCAGATTTCTGCGGTAAAATGATGAGATTCATCACAACGTGCATCAGAAGAAAAGTCTAAGGAAGCGGAAATATCTGACTTTTTCCAGGATTGAAAATAGTTGTGAAAAGTGCGCTTTTTCAACTGTCTATTCTTGTTTTATTTTTGTCTATTTGTCCATTCACTGCGTCATTGTCAACAGGCAATAAAATAAATAAATAAACATGCAATGGAAAGCTCCTAAGTCGAAAGCAGTAAAAAAACTCGCATCTAGTTACATAGCCATAACAACTGACTCTGCAACCAGAGTACCGAGAAGACACCAGGCATCAGCAGAATACCAAGAAGACACCAGGCATCAGCATTTGACGTGTCAGCAGTTGCGTTTACTTCATTTGGTTGTTATACATAATTCATTCATTCTTTGTAACCACCTTGTGGAATTAAGTAGTAAGCTTATTCGCTGTTAAAATTAAATAAAGCTTTTTAAAAACGGTTTCGTTAAATAAAGTTTTATAATTATCTGAAATTTTTGTATTTTTGCCCAAATTTTCATGAATGGAGATCGTTTTGTAAAATAAATTAAATCTCTCCAAATGCCCCAAGAACCATAAATAATTAGAATTAGAAAGCTCCCATTTGCTCCTCAGGTCAAAATCAGTTAAAAAGATCGCACGTGAAATGTTTGCTTTTTAATCTAAAATTTCAGTCAATCAGTTGAGGTCGATGTTTAGGAAAAAAAAATCTCTCCAAACGCCTCAAAAACCGTGAATTTTCATAACTAAGAAGCTCTTTAAGTCAATAGGATTAAAAAACTCGTATGTGAAATTTTTGGTTTTTTGCCCAAAATTTCTTTAGTGGAGGTCGATGTTTTGTAAAACAAATTAAATCTCTCCAAATGCCCCAAGAATCGAAAATTTGCATAATTGGGAAGCTCATTAGGTCAAAAGCAGTTAAAAAGCTCGCTTGTGAAATTTTTGTGTTTCCCCAAATTTCATCAGTTGAGGTCGATGTTTAGGAAAAAACTAAAATCTCTCCAAATGCTTAAAAACCCGTGATCTTTCATAATTGGGAAGCTCCTTAGACCGAAAGCAGGCAACAAACTAGCATGTAAAAATGTTGGGTTTTGTCCAATATTTCATAGGTATTACTGGAGGTAAAGGTTTTGAAAGAAAATCTTTCGAAATGTCCCAAAAACCGTAAATTTGCATAATTGGGAAGCTCCTTAGGCCGAAAGCAGTCAAACAACTGGTACGTGAAATGTTTGGTTTTTTCCCAAAATTTCATGAGTCGAGGTCAGCACAGCACCTTAGATTTGAGGTTCATATTGTAATAAGACAAATACCTAATAATTATTATTATCAACAATCTATACAGAGAGTACCAATGTATTGATAGTTACGTCCTACAAATTTTTCAATTCGGCTAGTTCAATAGAAACTGCATTCACAAACCCATTAGGTTTCCAAATGACGCCCCAAAGAAAAAACTTCCAGGTGAGTTGTATTCCTGTTTCCGTTGACTTTTCTTCTACGGTAAGTTGTCCTAACTCACATGTTTTTGACCGCGGAAATCCACCCGATTAAATTTTTTTACCGTTACTTATGAGACAGCCCGTATACAAACAACTGAATGTGAATGGACAGAGATAGTTGACCAGCAGCCAAATAAATAAATACAATGTTGATTGGGCGCAAAAAAATCCGTAAAATCACATTTAATGCCACTAGAAGATGCAACACACATCGGGTGAAAAGTGCATTTTGTCTGGACCGCATTCCAGTTCCGTAGCACTTTCGAGTGGCAAGTGCAACGAAACCGAGCGAGCCCTTGTTTAAGTATAAAAGTGCCATAACAACAACGATTATCGATGAGTATTAACATAGAATAATAATCATAGTCTTGACTGATTGTACATGATGCATATTCAGACAACTTGTTACAATTCAACGGCCCAAAACATCCAAATACACGGTTTAAATCTACTCAGTCACAAGTAGTGGCTCGATTGATTCCGAACAGCCACTTTAGCCGGTGATTCCGATTTAACACGGATCGAAATTGAATGGCTCTAATTGCTAAATAATACTCGATGGAAGCTTTTCGTATTGCTGCTGAGTTTGGCTTCCTCGTCGCCTTGGGATGGTGCCACTAATCGCGACCGTTGCCATCTTTAGAAAAAACTGTAAATTTACATTCAACTTCCAAGGTGGACAGTTCAACTTACCTCTGGACATCCGTAGCCAAGCAGCAACTCCACCAGGTGTTTGCTGTTTGTCGCTGAAGCATCCAGATTGATGCTTTTTGACGCTGAACACTTAGCTGCTGCTTTGCTGGCGGCAGCTCTAGCATAAGCCAGACAGGTCCTGCCATCCTGATCCACCGCTTTCACATCGGCATGATGCTAAGAGAAAAAAAAAGACTCAAAAATAAAACGCTTAAGATCGAAACTCTGCTTTCGATTAAAAAAATATTTATAGCAGCTAATGGAAAACTACCCGAAGAAGGCAGGAGACACTTTTGAAGAAATTGTCAAACTAATTCGGTCTTCAAGCCCAACACGCTTGAATGCAGCTGTGCGTAAAAAATAATTTTGGCTAAACCAAAAAAGCTAGCAGTTAGAGGAAGGTTGCATTAGGACTGCTAGAATCGCTTCTATGTATTATATACTTTCAGATTTTGTGCCATCAGAAAGTATTTTTGGAGATTTTTTTCAATCCATGGAAAGCTTTCTTCGATTTTCTTACAAATGTGGCTCAAAAAATTCACTCAAACGAAACCAAACACGATAGCAACTAATGAAAAATTGCATAAAGAAGACAAATGACGCGTTTATCTACTGTAGAAGTTTCAGTTTTGTGTCACCTTCAGGCATTTTTAAAGAAATTGTCAGACTTAATTCAGTCTTCAAGACAAAAACCACTTGAATAAAGCTGTGCGCAAAAAATAATTTTGGCTAAACCAAAAAAGCCAACAGCTAGAGAAAGGTTACATTAGGACTACTAGAATCGCTTCTATGTATTTCATACTTTCCGATTTTGTGCCATCAGAACGGATTTTTAGATATTTTTTTCACTCGATTCAAAGCTTTCCTCGACTTTCTTGCAAATGTGGCCCAGAAAATTCACTCAAACGAAACCACAGACGACAGCAACTAATGAAAAATTGCATAAAGAAGACAAATGACGCGTTTATCTACTGAAGAAGTTTCAGTTTTGTGTCGCCTTCAGACTTTTTTGAAGAAATTGTCAAACTTAATTCAGTCTTCAAGACAAAAACCGCTTGAATGCAGTGCGTAAAAAATAATTTTGGCTAAACCAGAAAAGCTAGCAGATGGAAGTAGGAACTTACCCAAATGAGTAGCTGGGCAATGGACAGATTTCCCATAGCGCAAGCCAAGTGCAGGGGCGTTCTCAAGTCGCGGGGGCCCACCGTTGTATTGACTTGTTGCGTATTGGCTAAGGCCAACACATGCACGATGCTTTTAACGTTCGAGGCGCACACCGAGTCGATCAGTTGCTGCCCTAAAGGCATCGTATTGTTGGGCGCTGGTAGGAACTCTTTGTGCTCGTATTTGGCTCGTATCCATCGTTCCTGCGGAGAAAAAAACATCTCGCACGTGGCAAAAATGAGTCCGAAACAATCACACCGTTTTACCTTTTCCTCTCGACTAGACGTGGGGGTGGGTTTGGTTCGGTTGTGCACCTGAGATTCCCACACCGAGTTCGCCAACGTGTTTCCTATCGTCAACATCACGCTTTGATTGCCCGGCCTGGAAAAATCGCTGTCATTAATTGAGGGGATTTACCGAATTTGCTCGTAAAGTTTCGCCAGTAATTATGGCGGGCATCTTCAGAGTTTTGATGGGTTTCTCGTTCAATAAAAGCTTGCTGGCTCTTCTCGCTCAGCGCACTATATTACAGGGCCAGTCTTCAGGAATTTTTAAGATAAAAAGTCCGTATCGGAACTATCCAGCTAGATCCTAGAGGGTCTTAAAAATTAATTCTAAATTCTGTATTTTCCAAGCAATTGTTGATAGGAAATCGATTAAGACTGGGTAACTCAGTGAATTTTTAGGAGTTGGCGCAGCGGTACGCACCTGGTTTGGTGCGCTAACCAAACACACCGGCGCAGTCACTCAGTTCCGTTGCTGGGAAAATGTTGATGACTTTTTTTACTTGTTTTTAGATTTATTTTAAGGGCCATTTATCAATAATATTGTTTAAATTTCCAGTTTTAGCCAAGTTACTCTTCTCCTCAATGCTTTATGCAAATTTTCTAAAGTTTCACTTAATAATGCTGGCAATCTTAAGGTATTTTCCGCGAAAAATTATGAAACCAATTTCGAATCCTTCGTCGGTTTTGTAAAAAGTTTTGCAATCCCTGTCCAGCTTGGAATTTGGAACAAAAATCAAATAATTTTCTATCAAAACACGAACAGAATAAGCGAAAGTTTATAGCAGATTACTTGGAAATTTCGTCACCTCCATACCTCTGAAGACTGTAGAGTTTGTTAAAAATGTGGTTTTTTAGTTTTCAGTTTCATTTTTTTCCATCACTTTCTATTCAAAAACGATCTATTTCATCGAGTTTCACTTAAAAACACTGACGATCTGGATGTATTTTACGCGAAAAATTACAAGATAAATTTATAGCTCGGTAAAAATTTTACAAAACACTTTTTTCAGCGTCGAATTCGAGACAGAAACTAAAATAAGTTCCTCCCGATTTTGCCCGAAAACCATAAAGGTTTCCTACAAAACCAAAACGGACCAGAAAGCAAAAGTAAAAAAAAAATGATTTGGAAAATTCGCCGCTATATCATCAATCTGAATTTTTTAAGGAGAACGCGTTTTTGCTCTAAAACAACATTTTTTAGGCGCGTGTTTAAGCAACAAAAAATCAACATTCAGTGCGATTTCCATGAAAATTTCTCAGTTCTAGGATGCAAACGTTCACTAGCGCAAGAAAAATCTTCAGGTGCGCACTTGTCCCCGGTTAGAAGTTACGATTTTTTTACGGAGAGCGCGTCTTTGGTTAGAAACTTTTATTTTTAGACTCGCGCTTAAATAGCAGCAAAAAATCAACATTCAATGATGTGATTCAATCTTAATGACCTTTTCTTCAGATGTGAAAAATTCAGTCTCGGGTCTCGTAAAGCTTTAATAAATGAGTTATAACTCGTTAACTCAGAGAGCGGGACCAACTCAATAGCGCAACTCAACACAGTGTTACCCAGGCCGAATATCGATATTAGGACGAAGATTGATGTTGCTATCGAAACGTCAAGGTAACTTTTCTTAATTAATTGGAATTTTTCTCTTAGAACTTCAGCCAAGTGTGTCGTAGTGATTACGTTTTGTAACTTTTGTTCTTTAACAATATATACCAATAAGAGCATTCTTTCTCAATCAATCTGTAATAGAAGACGTGAGAAAATTCTGTCTAAAAATAAAACGATAAAAATAAAACGAAAAACACCCAACAAAAAAGAATAACAACCATATAGAACTTATCTACCTCTGCAGATGGTAGTCGGGCGGGCAAAACGTTGCACCAAATCGCTTCAACCGCGCTCTAAATTGCCGCAAATGATCGCTTATAACAAAGCCTACTTACGGCCACTCGTCCAAGTCCAAGGAACGCACCCTAGAAATGTGCGACCCCAAGTTCCGATGAATCCCCGAACATTCTATGCACATTAGGACGCCTAAATTTAAACTAGCCCAGTCGGGATCTGCAAAAAAAATATATTTATATCTTTACTTTCGCGTCATTGGCTCAAACTCAATAAATAAAAGCTTGATTGTTAGACACTGAAACTTCGAGTCCAGGCATGATTCTCAGAGTTAATAAGCAGCTTCTTAAACACAAAAGCATTAATTAAAGGTTTGCGTTTCAAATGAAGAGTTCGAGCGGTTTCAAACACCGAACTTTTAGGGGGTATATCTGGCTGCTTCGGGGTTTTCAAAAACTTTCGAAATTCGAAAATTGCGTTGAAAAGCTCGAAATATCAGCTTTATTTCGGTTTCACAATTGGCTTTTAATTAGAATCGTTCCGAGGTGAAGAGTGTGGAAGGTGGTTTAAGAAAAAGTTTATTTTCTTAAACCACCTTCCACACTCGTTATGAGTTTTGTTACGAAGTGAAAATTTTGAAGGTTTTCAAAACGCAAACTTTCCGGTTAAATCGGTGAAAACGGCGTTCGAAAGTTCAAAAACTTCAATGTCTTGGTATTTTTTAAATTTCAAAATCAGCTGATGATGGGGGTTGATTGGGCTCATTAGCAAGTAAAGAGTGCGGAAGGTTTGAATTGAAGAAACAAACTTTTCCGGTTAGATCCGCCCGTAGTTCAAAATCTCGAAATCTCCGCATTTGCAGGATTTTTTTCCAAATCGGCCTAACTGGAAATGAAGCATTTGAACGCTGTCAAAACGCAAACTTTCCTAGTTAAATCAGGCCGTAGTTTCACCACCTTTATGGACTTTTTATATCTAATACCTGCGATCGAAAGTCCAAAAGCTCCGAAGAGGAACCTTTCAAATCGAGTTGGTTTCACATCTACATATTCCGGAATTTAGACGAAAAAAAAACCGCACTTTTTTTATTTAAATGGAAGCCGATCTAGTGATTATTTTCAAAACATGATTTAAACATTGAAAACTTCTTACTTGGGGAATCACAATCCACACAAAATCCATTGCCAGGTACCCTGCTTTTAATTGCTTGTATTGAGGCCAACTCGTTGGGATTGCTCTTGGCCTTTGAGGACTCGTTGAGTTGGAGGGAATTGAGTATTTGCTGCTCGATGGCGGCCACCCATTCGTCTCTTTCCTCAACGGAAGAAGCGTCGAAATTCCACTGCTTGCCTTCGAGCGACACTATGTAGAACTCGTACACATCTGCGTCTGGAACCAAAAAACTACCTTAAAAGCAAGGTAATTGGCAAACTGAAACTATTGGAGACACCCTATACATTTGATTACATAAAAAAGAAGCAACGCAGAGTATCGGGTTGGTGTAAAAAATTGGGAGTTGGCGTAGTACTACCTGAGATTAGTAATCTCTGGTGCTACGCAGATGACTTGGTGCAGAGACAAGAAATAATTTTATTTATCCCTTGTCTCTGGCTTGGTGCGCCAACCCAACGCACCGGCGCAGTACCTCAGTTCCGTTGTTAGGAAAATGTTGATGACTTTTTTAACTTGTTTTTAGATTTATTTCAAGGGCCATTTATTAATAATATTCCTAAAATTTCTTCAAAATTTCAGAATTTTCCAGTTTTAGCCAAGTTACTCTTTCTTCTAAATGCTCAATTTTCTAAAGTTTCACTTAAAAATGCTAACAATCTCAAGGTATTTTCCGCGAAAAATTATGAAATAAATTTCAAATTCTTCGTCTCTTTGTAAAAAGTTTTGAAATCCCTTTCCAGCTTCGAATTTGGAACAAAAATCAAATAATTTTCTATTAAAAATCGAACAGAATAAGCGAAAGTTTATAACAGATTACTTGGAAATTTCGTTACTTCCATACCTCTGAAGACTGTAGAGTTTGTCAAGAAAGCTGTGGATTTTTAGTTTTGACTGATTCTTTTTCCTTTACTTTCTACTCAAAAACACTCTACTTTCTAGAGTTTCACTTAAAAGTACTATCGATTTGGAGGTCTTTTACGCGAAAAAATTGCAAGATAAATTTATAGCTTTGTAAAAATTTTACAAAAACTTTTTCAGCGTCGAATTCGGGCCAAAAACGGAAATAAATCCGTATTGTTTTTTCCCCGAAAACCATTAAGGTTTCCTCCAAAACCGAAAACGACCAGAGAGCAAGTTTTTAAAAAAATATTTGAAAAATTCATAGCCCATCCCCCTGTAAATTTTAACTTCCTTTAAATTTTCAGGTCATTCCGGTTTTAATACCGTTTCTATTAAGCAATTCTTTCAAGGCAAAAATCGAATTATTTTTTAGTTTTACTTAAAATACTGACTCGAATTATGGACAACACCCTAATTATTATTTCTGGATCTTTTTCCAAAAAATATTTTTCCGAACCGAAAAAGCGAAAGATTAGAATCATTTGTTTGGAAAACTCTTGGAAACTGGGTTTTCTTCACTTTTAGGTAAATATTTCTAAACAACAGTGTCTCTAAACACAAAAACCGCGTTTTTCATAACGTTTTACTGTAAAATAATGGCAAACTGAATCTTTTATGCAAAAAAATAAGAGATCGCTTTTACAAAAAAACATGTTCGACTTTCTTTGAACTGTTGTCTTGGTGCTGTTGGCGGGACAATCTATATTACTTTTTTTTAGTTGTTTGAACAAAGTAGTAAAACGTTACTCAGAAAAAAGTCAAAAATTATATTTTTTAGATGTGAAAATTCCAGTCTCGGGTCTCGCAAAGCTTTAATAAATGACTTATAACTCATTAACCAATGAGTTAAAACTCATCAACTCAGAGAGCGGCAACAACTCAATAGCGCAACTCAACACAGTGTTACCCAGGCCTAATTACAAGAATAACCTGTTTTCAAAACCCTTTTTTGGGAGTTTTTGGGCCTCATAATATTTGAGGGACAAAGGCAGAATTATTTAGGTCATCAAGAGCTTCATGAGAAATTCCAAATTGTCGAGAAATTAATTGAGAAAAGTTAATTTCCGAAATATTTCAGCGTTTCAACATAAAAGAAACCACGCGGTATATTGTTGGAATGGCCATTTGAAAGCCAAATATTGTATTTAGAAAAAACATAACTTATGGGATAAAGTACCTATTTTGAACGGAATAATTGGAAAACTTTAAACCGCCTTAGAACAGGAGTCGCCCCCCACAAAGATGAACCCAGCAAAACTATAAAAAGAATATGATTCGGACACGAAAAACTCGAAAAAATAGTCAAGTTTGCTTACCATCGTATTCAGAGTTCTTCACTCCGCTGCTTTTCACTCGCCGATGCCGTTTCTTCACGTTGGGCGTTTCAGTCTTGCAAATTTCCCCATTGAGAAACGAGTTGCTGCTCGACAACGACATCCCCTCGTCTCCACTCTGTTGCGCGAATTTGCTGCTCGGATCTTTCACCGTTTCGAACGCCGATATTAGCACCCTTTCCGTGGGCCGTTTATCTTTATCTGAAACATGAATATTTCCTTATCGGTGCGTTAAAGTTATGAGTTTCATAAATTTTGGGTTTCTAACCCACCCAAAAAAAAGCTCCAGAAGCAATTCCCATTTATAGAACCGTTTAGGCTATTGGAACTGCAGGTAATTTCAGAAACTATAAAACTCACTCAGTAGTGATAAACTGCCGAGGTTCTCATGCAGAGCAGAACTGCAGCCGCCGTAGCCCTGACTGGACACGGTGACAATTGACTTAGAACCTGCAAAAATCGTTTGAATAATCGCCAGTTTGCTTGAATTGTCCTTGGTGGCTTACCGCGTGGCTTCTGACCGGGCACTTTAACAGTCACATACTGTAAAGAGATTTCCTTTCCATGCACGTCGTCCATGTAGTCGTGCAGGCTCGGGTGATAGGTCAACCTGCCATCATCACATAGCGTCACGTATTTCTTCTTCCATTCTTTGTTTAGAGGTTTGCTGGACTTTTTGTACAGGTAACCCTGGAAAAAACAACATTGAATAACTTCACAATTCATCATTTGCCGAAACTCCCTTTCTAACTCGGAACTCAAGTCGATGTGCTGAAGACTAAAGATGCTAAACTGAATGGCGGAAACCAAAATTGACTATCGTAACTGCTTGACAAAAAATACGTTACTCGGTCAAATTTCGACTAATTTTGGCTATCACAGATTCAACACATTTATTGGCACTATTCTCATTGCGCTAATGAAAACCGAAAAAACCCACCTGCTTCAGAGGAATGGCGCGCCCACTGCCAAAATCACCCCCATTTTTGTGCTTGTCATTCTTTGACGGGGTGAACAGATTCGATCGCCTCCTATTCTTCCGCGACGTGGTGGGCGTTGAGTTGGGCGTGGGCAAATCCTTCAGTTCCTTTGCAGTGTTCTGCTGTTGAGCAATCTGAGCAGAGAAAAACGGCCAATCAAGAGCCCCGATTCGTTCCCGCTTTCACTCACTTGGAGATTATCCAACGAATGAGGAGCCGCAAACTTGGCAACGTTATTGTTCTCGGTGGTCACAGCCAAAACTCCTTGAGACGAATTGATGCTGGCTAGGGTGGACGACGAGTTCCATTTTCTCTCTTCCTCGCCCGATTTGTAGCTGTTGCTGTCCCTGTCCGATGGCGAGCTGGTCTGATGTGTCGGCTTTTGTACTATGTGTTGGCGCAGCTCTTGTATCACCTGCGATTCCTGGAAATTGGGCAAAAATAATTAAACTCTTATTTACCACGTGTTACTACACAAACGTTCGTTTATGTTATACACTCATACAGGGTGAGTTTTTTTCATGACTAGTACAGGGATGTTCGGAACTAGAGCCGTTACAAAGAAGGTCAAATGGACAAAGAATTGTAGCTTTGATTACTCTACTCGAAATCAATTTAATTTTCCTAAAATTTGACAGCTGTCAAGATATATTTGGGAAAAACTTATTTATGGTAAATTTTTAAATTACTCATTCTTCCGTTGATATTAATTTGACAGGAAAACATTAAATCGAAAACTTGTAGTAAATTGAATTCCAAACAAAATGGCATAAGACATTTCTCCAAAATAACTGTCATTTTTGACATATGACACAAATTTGATTTTTTTTAACGGCAACCATACTTGATTATTGCCTTACCGAATAAAGCATTTTATGACGATTCTGTAAGATACCACATCGTTATGATTGTTTCGAAAATAAAGTGCCTGCGAACAATTTATACTTTTTCAATTTAGTTGACAAGTTATCTATGGAAAATAGTATAAGACTTACAGCATTGTTTTCGACAACTACGTTAAAGTTGGCAATGACTTTATTTTAACTAAGCCGGCTGCTCATTTAAAGTGTTAATTATAAAAATAAAATCATGCCATTAATAATTAAAATTTAACTATAGAAAATTTAATTTTTATTGTAAAACATTTCCAAAAAGTCCACCATTATTATCAATGCAATCATTGCAACGCTTTAAAACTGAATAAGTTGCTTTTCTTGCGTATCGATCATCAATATTTTCAAATGCTCTAACAACAGCTTCTTTAAGTGCATTTAAATTAGAATATTTGTTTTTGTCAACTGAGTTTTTACGGCTCCCCATAAAAAGAAATCCAAAGGTCAAAGATCCGGTCATCGAAGTGGCCATAAAATAGGGCCGTTTCATCCAATCCAAGCCCCAGGAAATGTTACGTGCATGTTTGTTATTATTTGTTGCTATGGAAACAATGCTGTCTTATACTATTTTCCATGACTAACTTAGATCAACTAAATTGAATAAGTGTAAATTGTTCACACACTTTATTTTCGAAACAATCATAACGATGTGGTATCTTACAGAATCGTCATAAAATGCTCTATTCGGTAAAGCAATAATCAAGTATGGTTGCCATTTAAAAAAACTCAAATTTGTGTCATATGTCAAAAATGACAGTTATTTTGGAGAAATGTCTTATGTCATTTTGTTTGGGATTCAATTTCCAACAAGTTTTCGATTTAATGTTTTCCTGTCAAATTAATATCAACGGAAGTATGAGTAATTTAAAAATTTACCATAAATAAGTTTTTCCCAAATATATCTTGACAGCTGTCAAATTTTAGAAAAATAAAATTGGTTTGGAGTGGATCATTCAAAACTACAATACACTGTCCATTTGACCTTCTTCGTAACTGCTCTAGCTCCGAAGATCCCTGTACAAGTCATCGAAAAAAACTCACCCTGTATAACTCCCAAAGAGATTTTTTATTAATAGTAAAACTGATTAAGAATCTGTTTAAAAACAAGGAGTTTTATGTTCATTTTGACACCCTGTATCTCGGAAACTATTAGCTTTCGGTTAAGACAAATTTGCTTAAATCGCAATATTTTTGCCTACACAATTTGTCACATTAGTTAAAGACCGCCCTGTATATAATTAATTCCAAGCTCACCTTGTTGTGAGGCAGGGTGTGATGGCCCGGCGACATGTGTAAAGAGGATTGCCGATCCATTTGCACGATGCCGTTATTGGGTTGAAGATGGCGCTGCACGGCAGCTGGATGGTAGTGGCTGTTGGGGGTGGATGGACGCGAATTGGTCGGCGTGAGACAAACGGTTGATTGAGCCAAACGTTGCTGGACAATTTTTTGGCAGGCTACAACCCAAAGCTGCTGTTCAGCCACCAACTACTGATAATGCGGAAAAATCTCACCGTCCTGAAAAACGCGCTCCACATTCAATCCGTAAGTGGCACAGGTTTCGTAGTAGGAGCAGCGCTTGAGATCGTTGGCCAGTTTCCGGGCCCTCGAGTCATCAATTACTCGTGGATTGTTCTCGCTAATCGCATCTGAAACATCGATGATTTATCACAAAACGCACTAAATGTGTGCACTCAAAGCTCACCTTGCGTACCAACGAGGATCAGTGGAATCTCCGCAGCATTGCGATAGTGGGACATTTTCGTGTAATAGTTGTAGATTGCACTAAATGACGACTCGTTCTCCAAGCTGAAGACGAAAATGACTGCATCCACCCAGGCCGTGAACTAGATAGACAAAAAGTATATCGGTAATTCACATAATAATACTAAAGGACTACAAAAGCAGAAACAGGTCGCAGTAGGAAAAGGCGACGTTCCGTACTTCAGATACAAAATATCTGAAAAACTCTGTTCAACTAACCCATAACTAAAACTGTACGACCGAAAAATGTTAAACTGTTAAAAAAAGCATGTTGTAAGTTGAGGTCCCATAAACATAATTTTAAAATACACTGTTATTCGGAGTATATTCAGTAGGCCTGGGTAACATTGTGTTGAGTTGCGCTATTGAGTTGTTGCCGCTCGCTGAGTTAACGAGTTATAACTCGTCGGTTCATGATTTATTAAAGCGTTACGAGACCCGAGACTGGAAGGGTCTAATCTAAAAAAGGGTCATTAAAATTTTTTCTGAGTAACGTTTTACTACTTTGTTCAAACAACTAAAAAAAAGTAATCTATATTTTCCCAGCAACAGAACTGAGGCCAAAGAAAGTCGACGAGTTTTCTTGTAAAATCGATCTCTTAATTTTTTGGATAAAATATTCAGTTTGCCATTATTTTACAGTAAACCGTTAGGGAAAACGCCATTTTGCTGTTTAGAGACAGTGTTGTTTAGAAATATTGACCTAAAAGTGAAGAAATTCGAGTTTCCAAAAGTTTTCTAAATAATTGATTATAAACTTTCGCTTTTTCAGTTCGGGGAAATGAAGCGAGTGCTCCAATAAAATATATCTTATAATTTTTAACAGAAAATATCTGAAGATTCTCAGTATTTTAACTAAATAGTAATGCGATTTTTGCGTAGAAAAAATATAAATCTAAAAACAAGTAAAAGAGGCAATCAACATTTTCCCAGCAACGGAACTGAGTTACTGCGCCGGTGCGTTGGGTTGGCGCACAAAGCCATTTGCGCAGCACTGCTAAAACACCTAAAAATTCACTGAGTTACCCAGGCCTAATATTCAGTGTGTCTACTTAAGATCGCACCATATGGGAAACGTTTTTATTACTAATTACACGGAAGAGTTACGGTTCAAAAAGTTTTGCATATTTTAAAATGCAAAATACAATAATCAGATATCAAATTGTGTCAGAAAATATGAAATTTGCCTAAGTAAAGAAAAGTAAAAGTTACTTAATATTTATCAATCTTTATAATCTTTGTTCGGTAAACAAAAAATTCTAAATATATCTGTGTTTGCATTATAATATCTAGTAATTTCATTTAAAAACGTTCACGTTTCACAATTGCAGTCGAAAGTTCAAGACGAATTTCTGTATTATCCAGTACAGTCAAAGGAAACAACTCTATTGCATGTCGCAATTGCAAGATTAAACCAGTTGAATTGGCTTTTCCTTCGATTTGAACGAAGAATTGTTCCCAACAAAAGCATCAGCGAAGCGCCTAAAGGCAAAGGAAAGTGCTTACGCTATTGATTGACTGATGATGTTTACATCGAGAAGTTTTTATGGAGAAAGTGCAGACAATATTTATTGGCAATTTAGGAAAAGTGAAACCCACTACTAGCAACTCACCCTGTCACGCTCATTTTCTCACAAAACACCCGTTTGAAACGCGAGAAATTCGCGAACTTTTTGGAACAAAAACACAAACACTCAGACACCACTGGCCCTTACAACTGCCGCTTCCATCCCTTTTCCAATCAAAGCCTTCGTTCCTTGCATGCACAATCAAGTCCTCGAATTCGCTCCATCCCAGTTGCATTCGCTTGTTACGGGCATTACATACGACCCATGTGCGCCTCTTTGTTCGCAAAAAAATCGATACTGGATGCAGCGGAATGCATTATGCAGCCAACAGAAGGAACATGGCTTTAGAGCCTCATGGCTAAACAATCGCCGATCTTTAAGACTAATGAACAAGGAACATCCAAAGGAGTGTTCCCTGGATAATTGTGCTCTTTTGTGGGAAGCATCCACAATGCATCAAAAATAGTAAAAATTTTATTTTGGCATAAAATATTGTCAAATTACTGAGAAATATCTATGTGAAAAGTCCACAATTTAGTCAAAACTCAAACACAATATTTCAGCAGATTAAATCATAGGCAAAAATATTTCTCGCCTAAAGCCGCCTTTCTTGTCTCTTAAAAATCTACATTTCTGGACTTGGGCACTTGGACCACTGTGCAATGGCTTGATGCTTTAATGGATTATTTGGCGGATGCGCCACAAAATATGAAATTCTACCTCTGCGCGTTTTGGTGGATGCGTACTAAAAAGTAAAAACATGTCGGTACCTGGAGCTCTGGCGGTCCGCCTTCATCCCTAATCAGCAGCAAGTAGCTTTGGTTCTCCACCAGGATCTCCTTTTTGAATCGGCCTCCTTCGGGCGATTCCTCCTGCATGTAGGAACCGGTCAAGTAGCGGTGCACCAACGCCGACTTGCCGGAACTCAAGGAACCCACGATGCCCAACCGCAGATCGGGTACTGCCCTCGATAGAGTCCATTCTTGCGAATTGACAAACGAATCTGAAACAGATCGAAACCCGACATTAATCCGCGAATAAATTCATTGATGATTGTATTAAAACCGAGCCCCCGCTGAGCGAACCGGGATCTTTCTTGTGCAACAGATGATACCTGCAGCTGCCCGCTGTGCCGATTTGAATAGACCGAAGGAAATTTAGAGCAAATAGTTCCGACCTGACTTAGGGCGCTGCGCCCATTTCCGAAACGTTTAGCTTTACCAATGACTTAACGGCTTGCCAGGAAATGGGAAATTCGATCGTTTGTCACTTAGAATAAACCCTTTCTTTTAAAGGGCCGAAGCGGCAAAATGCGAATCAATATATGAAGTAGGCTGGTTCTATTAACGATGCAGCCCACTTTCTTCATTTGTTTACTTTCAAACCGGCATATTTTTTTCGCGCAAAAATGCCGATTTGCGACATAGTTAGATACGATTAAACAGGCCACTGAACATACTTTACATCATAGTGCTGATCCATCAGCATGTTTGTTGTTTTCGCAATTAACAATGTTATAAACAATTTGGAACGTTGTTGGTGCTTCAGTGTGAAGGAAAAAAATAATCTAATTTACCATATTAGGTTCGTAAATAAAACAGCAATCAACATCTGCATGTTAGCGGTTTTTCTCTTTATATGCGGGCCATATGTCGGAAGGCCCACACAAAACGTCCTGCAAAACGTTTTGCAATAACGCACTTCGCGATTCTACAGATGTAAACACTTGGCGGCATCAGCGTTGTTTTCCTAATTATTTTCAGTTGGCGAAACCCCAAGTGGGTCACAACAGCACCATCCACCTCCAGACTGCAGTTAATTTAGACACTCACCACTTTTCCTTTTATCTGGCAGCGCGAAGCTCTTGCTCCTCTTGAGGCGCAACGAGCGCCTCCTCAAGCTCCTCAAAAAGCTTTCGGGCATCTTCTGAAACTTGCCCGCTTCTTCCGGTTTCTTCGAATCGGACATCATCAGCCAATTCTTCACGGCGCTCATCGAAATACCTTTCGATTTCTTCGGAGTCGGGGTGGGCGCCCACTCGCTCCGAATATCCACCATTTTCACTCGCACTTTTCCTTCACTAAATTGCACATTTTTTGCGATGTTTTCACACACTCGCCCACCAGTTAGTTACGAACGGACCGACGTCGCGCCAGCGAATGCGAAAAACCGAAAACGGTCTTCAATCCGACAGGTTTCCCTTCCGATTACTGAATACTAATGGAGCGCGTGGTTTTTTCACAATGCGCACGCAAGAAACGCTCCAATATACAGGGTGTCCTATTTTCGAGTCACACTCATGTGCTTTATTTATGCCAAATTTAAAGCGGTAAAATAAAAAAATTGACAATTTTAAAATCACCATATATTTTCTCAGTTAAAAGAGATACAGAAAAATGCTTCATGCAAAAGTTTCTGTATAATGATTGCTGTATGTGTATGTATAAAATATAAAGGGTGCTCGCTTTAAAAAAATGAGTTTAGGTCCGAAAACTTTTTTACCTGAGCCGTATACTTATTCTGAAAATCGTTGAAAATGGGACACAAAAATGTCTTGATCTAGTCAACGGAAGATTCATAGACATTCGCAGCTACTGCTTGAAACTTATGAGTTTTTTCGGGATTTTTGGTCGCTGAGTTAAATAATTTCTTCTTGGTTTTTCGCGACGGCAGGGAAGAAACACTTTTTTTAGCCCGAAAAACTACCTTTTTAAACGTAAACTTTTGGCCGAAATACCTCGGAAAATGCATGCCAATGGTGCTTGCGAAACATCAGGAAGAAATTCTTTATGACGACTGGCCTCAAAGCCCCAAAAACATAAAGACGAAACTAATAAGGTTTTCGCACTTTTAGGACGTCCTGGAAAGAATTTTTCCTGACGTGTCGCTAGCACGATTGGCACGCATTTTCAGATGTGTTTAGATCGAAAGATTTCACTAGACATTGCAAAGTACTATTTTTCTTGGACCAACGTATAATTTCTTGTTGACAATTCGCAAGCACGAGTTTTTCGGCCAAAACATTAGAAACCGTACGTTGGCACAAAAAAAACAGTTTTTTTCAGTCTCTAGTGCAATTTTTCCGCCTAAACACATCTGAAAATGCATGCCAATCGTTCTTGTGAAACATCAGGAAGCAATTCTTTACGACGACTGGCCTCAAAGCCCGAAAAACATAAAGATGAAACTAATAAGGTTTTCGCACTTTTAGGCCGTCCTAGAAATAATTTTTACTGACGTGTCGCAAATACGATTGGCACGCATTTTCAGATGTGTTTAGATCGAAATATTTCACTAGACATTGAAATGCTGTATTTTTCTTGGACCAACGTATAATTTCTTGCTGACGATCCGCAAGCAGGAGTTTTTCGGCCAAATCATTCGCAACCGGACGTTGGCACAAGAAAAACAGTGTTTTTTCAGTGTCGATTGTAATTTTTCGGCCTAAAGACATCTGAAGATGCATGCCACTCGCGCTTACGATACAACGGCCTTAAAGCATAAATATTCAATAATTTTTATTCTTGAGTGCAAAAACAAATGTGAAGATGATGTTTTGAAGACAGCCAAGCCTAAAATGAATCTAATGTTTCCCAATTATGGGTTTGTTTTGAATTTTAAATCTGATGTTGGCGCTGTTGTCTCGCCGAAACGTAAAAATATGAAATAAACGATATGAACATTTTTATTTCACATTTTGACCGACACCCAGGAAAGAAAAAATATAATACTCAATAATTCCAATTGAAAACCCTGATACTTTAAAATGAAACCTCTTTGTTCTAAAAGCCCAAGTGCTGCGTTCGAAATTTTCAACTTTTTACCCTGTTTTTACTTCACTCTATGACACAACTTGCTCATTTCTAATGGATTTCGCCAATTCAAGGGTGGAGATAGATTCGCCTTAGCGAATGACTCAGACTTATGGGGCTGTTTTAGCTGGGGGGCGCGTAATTGCCTCTCTAGGCAAAGATTAAGAAAATCGTGGGGGAAACTTCGAGTTGGGAGATGTTGAATTGCTTCTTAGAACAGAGGCTGTGCTATTGTTGACCAAAAGTGTCAATTTTAGCGTTTATACCTACTGTGGTGGTTTGAAAACTTTTAAAAATAAATCAATCACGCAAACCTAAAATTTTTTGCTGGTTCCACATCTGGTCAACGAGCGTTCCAGTCGCGCAAATTACGTCCGACATATGTTGTTGGTACGTTTGCATGCATAAAATCTTCGGTTAATGATGGCAATGAATCAAATTGGTCACGTGTCGGGCGAGACTTTTCAGCAAGGGCACTTATTACTCAATTACGTGGCCCCAAATAAACGTTCCCTTTGTCTTTAGATGTGGTGTCCTTTAGGGGCTGCAAAGGATTTGCATATTTCAGCCCCCAAAACACGCAGATGTTGCTTTATAAACCTGTAACCTGGCCGATGCTTATCAGTCTAAAAGCTACTTAAGCGGATCGGTTACAATCGTGATTGAAATCAAAACAGAGGGGTTGTCCCAATCCGTACGGAAATAATGAACGTTTCTTGACCAAATCATCAAGACCTAAAACTAACTAACGGCTAACTGTTTCCATCGACCAGAAGGTTGTTGGTTGGTTGGCAAAAAACAGTAAAACAAAACCGAAACCGTGTGGTTCCGATTCACTGCCCACACTTATTGGGTTCCTCTTAAGAAATCGCCTCGAACCTTGAATTTGCTGCGTCAGGTCAATGCTTGAAGAAGGAGGAGAAGAAGGTGGAAGCAGTTTAAGGAGTAAACCACAACACCAGCCCCTAACGCTAAATATATGGCGTTTAAATTTGCCCTTGCAAGCATGTCAAGAATATGATAATGCAATCGGGCCCCAAGTTGAGTAAGGACTTGCATGAGAACTCTTCTAAACCTTCACAGTGGCGTCAGCCACGAAAAACTTCTAGACAAAATTTCCCAATCATTTTCCAACCGTACTAGGTACCATTGAGCATGTTGAATAATACACATTAAAGCCATAAATTATGAGTAAAAAAAGCTAAAAACATTCTGAACAGGTTCTGAAACATGGCAAGGAGCATCTTTGCGGGTCGAGGAGCTGAAGAGTGCGCCACTGGAACTGGAAATAAGCCCATTATAATTTAGGCAGCAAGTTTGCCGAAATATTATCCAGAGGCAACGACGGCCAAAAACATAATAAAAAGCCAAAGGGAACAGGAAAGTGGTAACAATGAGCGAAACAACAAAAAGGGGCATTTGTATCGTTTAGAAAAGCACGGCACCGAATCCCAGCTGTCCAGAGCTTTACCTGTTGATCTTGAACTTGTGGAACGGACGTTTTACTGGAAATCAATCAACTGCACTTTGGCAATTGGAAACGCAGCACTTTATCTAAGACTATATTAAACTTATTTGAAAATTTTGTTATCAGGATGGTAACATGTCTTAATAATTGTCGTCTCAAGACCATTAGAAGTTTATAATTGCCCTTGGCAGAGAATCGCCCTGTAAGTATATGACGCACAATTACACAGAGATTCCGAATTATATTGCAAAAGTTATGACTTATGAATGGGGAATTTTAATTAAAATAAACAGCTCACTCTAGGTGTCCTTTCTCGTTGGTGTCGCCATTGTCAACTGCACTGACAACTAATCTCAAATCGTCCGAAGTTTTCAAAACTCAGTTTTGACGCATAAAATCACTAGGCTAAAGGAAACGTTGGCCGGAAACTGTTCTGGCATAGTCGCTTTATTGGAAAATCTACACTGTATGGCTCAAAACCGCGAAAAACCGGCGACTTCCAGATATGACAGTAAACGTCAAAATTTACTACAGCTGAAGGCACAATTAGCACAAAACGGTTCCCGAATGATTTATTTAACGAAAATGTCCAAATTGGGGCTCTAAACCGGAAAAAAACTGCAAATTTCCCGGCTTTCCGCGGAGCAACGTGCGCACGTTGTCAACTTTTCCACGCCAAAACCAGACAGCTTGAGCTGAGTTGCGACATACCTCATTGATCAT